CTCAGCGAAAGGGCTTAAAATCAAAAATTTTGGGATCTTAGCACTTCAAACGCACAGAATTCAATCCCAAGACGACAGGAAAACGCGGAAAATTGTCGAAATTTGAATAATGCGAATCCAAGAAATGGAATTTCAGCGAAAGGGCTTAAGGTCAAAAGTTTTGGGATCTTAGCCCTTCAAACTCAAGGGGTTCACTCTCAAAATGGCGAAAAATGTGGAGAATTTTCGAAATTTGAAAACGCGTATCGCTTACATCTTTGCCGTGCTTAGTTTCTTACTTTTGGGAGGAGGGGGATCCTAGTGGGAGGGATGTTATCGGACGCTCCAAGCTAGTAGATATATTAGAAGGTAAGTAGTACGTAGTGTGTGCTGGTCGTGGCTGATTGTTGATATAAATTTCAATACTGTGAGTGAGTAAGAAGTGAGAATGAGTAAGCAAGTCGGTGTTAAGTGAGACCAAGGTGGCAAATATCCCAAATGGTATTATGCTACTTTTAATCTATCATTTCAGCGGGACAAAACCTTCCAGAACAGCTTGTCTAGTAGATTTGTTTCCTCTATCTGCTTACTTAATCATGACGGGAGAAGTACACGCGAAAAACTAACCGGTTGCTTTCGCAGATTGATTATGTTGTGCTTTGTTGAGTCTTTACTTGTTAAACTGTCAAGCTAGGTTAGGTTAGTCTCTGCTTGTTATACAATTGCAATTTGCAGAAAAGCTAAAAGTTTTATTTCTTTGTTACCATTAGTAGCTGCATACGCGACTATTTCAACCAATACTGATTTACGGTTAAAAAGGATTAAAAAATGCTCTTAACAACTGTTTCAGGCAGGTAGAGAAGACCCTGGCCTCATGTTGTAACGGCTTATCCTTATCCTGCGTTTTGCCATCCGTTCTAATCCATTGCCAGCCTGCTCTGGACATAATTTAGATCTCACGAGGACATCAATCCATCTTCATCTTCTCAACATCTACTGTTTCTCTACCTATTTCGGAGTATTTTTAGCATACAGATGGGGAATCAAAAGATAGATGGATTAACAAGTGAGGCCTTAAGTTATGCGCGAAAAAGGGTACGCCACCTGATATAGAAATTCTCGCGTAACATCTTCCAAGTACCCTGCAGCACGTAGTCCACCCTCCGTCTGCACCTCGTTGTATTAGAAGGCAAAGTACTCGTGCAGTGGGTTTTATAATTACATGCTCTTACAGCTATTTAGTAGCAGCAGGCGGCCGGTTATTACTATTTTTTTAGTACTATAAAAGAACATGCAGCCATTGAATACGGTTCCGGAGCACCAGCAGGTCCAAGACCAGAAGAAAGAAAGTTTTACATACTCTCATATACATATATTTATTCGAAAAAGAAAAACTTGCATAATCACGGTTGAGGTTGAGGAGGGAACAAAGACCAAGAAGAGGAACTTCTTCAAAAAACCATTCGAGGAGTTTGCATGAAGGGATACATGTAAAAAATATAGAAGTTTGGTGAGAACATATTCATAAAACATCAACGGTTGTAAGTCTAGTAGGAAAAATAAATAATATTAATACATGATGATTAAAGGACTTCTAGAGTCTAACAAGTATTACTAGTATGAAGATTAGAGCTACCGCTGCGATAGCAATAACTATAATTCATTGACTCATCTCGTCCTGTTTCATACAAGATAAACATAAATAGATACACTGAATTTCTACAGTAAAACACTACTAGTTATCCACATTACAAGGAAATAGACTGATACAGTTGAAAATATCGAACAAGAAAATGCTTCTTCTACTAATCATGTTGCTTCATGTTCATTAGTTATGACATAACCTCGCCAAGTTGTCCAAGCAGATTTGTCAACGTAAGCGATGCTGTCCTGCTGACCACCATCAGCCTTGCTGTCCTTACCAGCCTTCTTCGTGATCTTGTCGCAGAGACAGCCCCAATTGGAGGCTGTCATGTGAAACGGGTACGCCTCCCCCAACAACTTTTCTTAGAGTCTTTATGTTGA